TTACCCACCCTGTCTACATAGGAACAAGACACACAAATGTAAGGGTCGTTTTGAGTCTATTTTTTGGTGCTTGAGATGTGGTCATTTTGTGGTTGTTTTGTGCGATTAGTTATGTGTTTGCACCTCCTAGTGGTCATTTTGGGAAGATCCTTTGTCATTTTTGCAACTTCAAGTAATTGTTAGGCTTTTTTTTATTTTACATATCCTTTTAGTCGTTTTGCATGTATTTTGAGATGTTTAACCTTTCTTAGTGCTCATTTTTGTTGTTTTGCATGTCTTTGCAGTCATTATGGGTCATTTTGAGACAACTCATTTCAGTTTTCTTTCTTAAACTGAAGAAAAGGTAAAGCACACAGAGCTAATACAGATACTTTAAATGACTGTATAATAAAAGCTAATGTGTTTCTTCAGATGAAGGTAGGTAGGGGTGCAGCGGATGCCATTCGGAGCGTGCACGGGATGCACTACACCGTAGGAACCTCACCGGATGTGTTGTGTAAGTCCACACATCACAGCTGGTCACAGATGTATTTGACTTTGTTGCCGTGCTAGCAGAAAAACAGCAGTGTACCCTCTTTCTACAGACGCCAACTCTGGTTCCTCCAGAGACTGGGCCCGGATGCAGGGGATCCCCTTAACCTACACCTTTGAGCTGAGAGATAACGGGACGTTTGGCTTTGAGCTTCCCCAGGATCAGATCCAGCCGACCTGCGAGGAGGCCTACAGCGGAGCCCTGCACATCATCACCTATGCCCACGACAAGACCTTTAGTGGGGCCACTGCAACCGCTGCAACCCTGTGGAGCATGCTGTTAGCCTTGGGTGTCACCGGCACCACCCTGATGTGAGGGGGGGAGGGGAAATAACTCCTGCTGTTTTGCTTTAAGTTGCATTTATCTTGCGTATGTTAGGTTAGTTTCAAGGAGAGCTCCAGTTTTTAAGACAAAATGTTTTTTATCCTCATTTTTGTAGATTAATTATGATCAAAAGTATGTCAATGCATCGTAAATACCAATGCACCTTTGATTCAATGTATTATAAATAAATCTATAATTATCATAGAATTCCATACAAATCTTATTGCCTGACACATTAGTATATCCACAAATCTTTTTTTATTTCATTGAATATGACGACATACAAATAACATCTGGCGCCAAAGAGAAATACAAAATAATTAAATATTTGAAACGTGTGTCTATATTGTTTTAACTAGGGTTGCCAGAAACTGACCATGATCAAAATCGATTATTCGGCAGCCCTGGCGAATAATAATCGATTAATCGACCCCCCCCCCCCGCGGGACAAACCAAAAAAATATATATTAAAAAAAAAAAAAAAATTAAAAAAAAAAACTCAGACAAAAGGAATTCCGTTGTTTTCTTTACTGGAACATGTTTAACAGTACAAACAAAATAAGCGACAAATAAACCAACATCAACATGATGTTGGTTTATTTTTTGTTATTTTCTAAAGTGCCTGCCATTGCCTTTATTTGGAGATGCGCTATGCGCGCACAATGTATTTGTTGCAATGCTGCCATTATTAAATACAGGCTACGGCTTGTGTTAATGATAGCAGCATTGCAATAAATATTATTATAGCAATTTATTTATTGCAATGCTATTATTAATACAGGCTGTAGGCTGTCAAATGCGAACGCATTGCTGAGGTTGAGCTATGATAGACCAACGTCTTTTCGCAGAGCTTGCATTTCACTTCCTTTGTACTTATAAGTTCGAAGTAGTTCCACGAGGAGGAACTCTTTTTACCTTCCGCTTTGTTCATCTTTAGTCGCACGTGTGAGGGAGGGTGGGGGCGGGGGCGGTGTGTAGCGTGCTGCAGCAGCAGTCTGCTCTGCACGCAGGCTTCCTCCAAGTTTACAGTAAAACAAACTGGTGGTGTGACCAATGGCCATTTACAATTGTTAATACTATTACTATTATTAGCATTAGTCTATATTTTGGTTGAAACTAAGCCAGAAAAAAAAAAAAAAACGTAAATAATAATAAAAAAATATATAAATAAAATCGATTTTTAAAAATAATATTCGATTATGGAGACTGTAACGAATAATCGAATAATCGCTGGCATCCCTAGTTTTAACCACTTTTTCACAATAATAACATACATACACTTTCAAATGAGTGGACATGTCCATGGTGAATGCATGTTGCCTTATGATGTCACCTGAAAGACAGTCAAATGGCTGACTCTAACTGATTCTACGTAACTACATCATTTTGGAACAAGTATTTATACTCTGTAATTGTCACTTGTAAATTACCAATTTTCAGTAAACATACAATTTGTCATACATTTGAAACTAATGGGTAAAATAACCTTGTATCAATGGTACCTTATCAAATTAGTATTGGTCTCGTGTGGTGTTCCACAGGGGTCAATCTTAGAACCCTTAAGGCCTTTGAACAGCAGGTCAATATTTGTCATCAGCAACAGAAACTTAACTTAAACCCGACCCATAATAACCCTAAGGACCCTGAGAAATGCATGACCCAAAAGTGTGCTATACCCTCTGCTTTCCAGTCCGTCCAGATGTTGACAGCTTTTCCTCACCCCAAGCACTCAATTAACTACACCCTGTAAAATAAAACAGAAATCAACTGTGGAAGTGATCATAAAACGTAGCAAATAATGTCTGAATTCAGCCGTAAAGCCCTGGAAAAATATGTTATCTCGGCGGTGCGTGTTCCCCAATCCAAACTTTAAGATGCTATGAGCGAGGTTTTGCGTGCACACAGACACATTTTAAGCGTGTGTCTGAGTGCAACAGAGCGACCTGCCTTCCTCGTCTAAAAGCATCAGTGCTTTCATCCTTCATTACGAAGAAACAGCCCATGATGTGAGCTTTGATTCTGTCTGGGACACACACTGGGTTTGTGCACACAGCTCCGAAACTGAGACAGGTCTTGTCTCTGTGTCTTATGAGCAGCTTGTGAACAGACAAAATGAGCATGTCAGCAAAGAAGTGGGAACAAAGAGTTGCAAGTGTTTTAAATTCATGGTATAACCAGCAGCCAGACTAAGAAAGCTGAATAAGGAGAAAGCTGCTCTCCTACACTAACTAATCTCAAAGGGATTCAACTTTAAGATCTTAAAAGTCTGGCTTTTTTTTAAGGAATATTCAAGTTAAGCAGGTGACATAAAGTATTTTTGACCAGATTCACTTCTGAATATTGAATCCCTCTGACAGACGATATTGCAGTATTTTGTTTTTATATTTTAATGAGTGCAAAGATCTTTGCAAGCACTCTTCCTCTACACATATTTTACTCTGATTATCTTTGATCTCAAGTCAGCGTTGTACTGACATCTACTGGTCAGATGAAACTGTTCTAAAAACTACCACGTCTGTCAACCATGAATGGATTACTGAACAGGCAGGGGCCCTGAAGTTAGGGACCCTCCTGGCGTTTACCTACAAAAGGTCACTCGAATAGACATGTACCAACCAGAAAGAGACTCAAAATGACTACAAAGAGATGAAGAAAACGACCGCAAACTGACTAAAAAAGGCGAAGTAAACAAAGAAAATAACGCAAAATCTCATAGATATGTGATGCAACAATACAACAACAAAAATAGGCTATTAAAACTGAGAGTCTTGTCTCTTCTGTCAGAGAAATAATGGGGCCTTTAGCATGTCTGTGCCCAGCGGCCCATTGTCCATTGACCTTGCCATAGTGGCAGCACATTTAATATTTCATTCAAATTTCATTACGTCCAAGTAAGTAATCTCCATCGAGTGCAATGCCTTCTATGTCAGAAAGACTGTTGGGCTTTGCACAGAATTTCACAGCAGCTGGGCTGGAGTCGGCCGGTACACCGACAGGACACGGGGAGCTGGCGTCGGCCAGAGAGCCAGTACTGGAGCCGAAACTGGAGTCGGGACCATGGCTACTGGGGCCGGTACTGAAGCCGGAACCATGGCTGCTGGGGCCGGTTCTGGAGCCGGAACCACGGCTGTGTGGGCCGGTACTGGAGCAGGGACCATGGCTGCTGGGCACGGAACAGAAGCCTGGACCCTGACTGTGTGAGCCAGGTAATGGAGCACGGAAGCATGGCTGTGTGGGCCGGTACTGGTGCACGGATCCATGGCTGTGTGAACCGGTTCTGGAGCCGGAACCATGGCTGCTGGGGTCGGTACCTGAGTACGAGCTGGCTTCCTGACCTTGCGTTTTTTTTAGGTGTCTTTTAGAGGCTCCGTAGACCTCCAAACGCCAGGCGGGATCCCAAAAGAGGGTCAGAAAATGGAGACTGGCACTCCGGGCTACGTGAGAAAACTCTGAGCAATTCAGGCAACGAGCTTCTCAACCATGGCACGTTGTCCACCTCCCTTTGTGCCTTTTTGAGGACAGCCTCTTTGTCCCTTTTAGCCGAGGTTCTACTCCACTCAGCATAAAGACATCGAAGGGAGTAATCCAGGGAGAGCAAATCAAAATCATAATCCGCTGGGTCCATAATTGGTCGGTTCATTCTGTTAAGATCACTGTTACGGATTGCAGAAAAGGTAGGACCCAAAAGCAGACTACAAAAAAAGTAAAGGTCTATAAACAAAAGCGAGCTTTATTAAAAAGCTGAAAAACAAAAACATGGCATGAATCCATAAAACATAGATTGTACAAGGTAAAACACACAAAACTGACCATGACCAACATGGAGGGAGACAGGAGAAACAAACAATGAACCGATGAGAAAACACAGGAAAAGACAAGACTAAATACAGAGAGGGGTAATCAAGGGACAAGAAACACCTGGGCAGGGGAGGTAGAAACACAAGGGCAACAGGTGAACACAATTAGACAATCAGACACAGGAGGAAAAACACAGGAAGAGACAGGGAGAACAGAACCACAAAACAACACCCATAACAAGACATACAAAACTAAAAACATCAAGATCGTGACAATTAACCAACACAGTGATAGCGGAAGTAGTCCACAGTCGAGGGAAAGGTTTTTATCTTTATCTGATGCGTGTCTTATATAAAGGCTGGTCAGTGTCGGCAACAGTTGCAAACAAGGAGTTTACGTTCAAAAAGTGGCAATGCTTTTCTCGGTGGGTCTGAGCCTTGTGGTGCTGCTTTCAGTGGTGGGAGCAGCCACAGTGGAGAGGTGAGTCACATCTTGGGTCCAATACTGACTTAAAGAAGGCGAATGCAACAAGCCTTACTTTTGAAGACTCCGAAATGGTTGATTAGCACATGTTATGTCTTCTTGTTCCTCTGTGTCTCATGTATTTGGATGTGCAACAGGGTGGAGTATGACTACTACAAATACCATCCAATGCCAGAGGTGAGAAAGCAGATTCTCGCTCTTACACTTTTTATTTTGACAGACCACTACACACAGAATCTAATGTGTGTTGTGTGTATTCCACCCTACAGATCACAGACTGGATGGTTCAGGCTGCGAAGAATTACCCTGAAGTTGTGACTATAGTGGAATATGGACAGACCTATGAGAAGAGGACTATTAGCTTGCTCAAGGTAAAAAAATGTTGTGACGCATAATTGAGCCATCATTTCCCAGACACAAATGTATTGGGCTTATGGGAAAACACTCTGAAGGCTGATGATGTCATTTTCTACAGAATGAGATGTTGAAGCAAAAAGGTTTTCTGTTGCCACTTTTACCATTGATTTCTGACACAGATCAAAAATGAGCAAATACCATAAGGATACTGGGGTGTATTGTTGTTTTGTGTGTGTTTGTGTTCAACAGTAGCCAAATAAGAAGCTATATCTGGTTACCATTTCACAATGAACCCTCTTTTTCATATTCAGTCGGTTTTCTTAAACTGTTTGGAAACTATTGAACCAATGTGTAAACACTTAAACGTTTTGATTTGAAACAATGTCCAACATGGTTATGGATAATCTTGTTTTGAAGGCATGGCTGAGGTCAAATGCCTTGTTCAAGTTGATGTATAACATATTCTTTTGAAATAAATATTATATATCTGAACAAACAAGAATTATTCTTAGTTTATGTAAACTTGCAATTAGAAGTCAATATAATTAATAGATCTAAGTTGAAATAAATGTATTATTACAATCTTCTTAACTTGAAATGATGAGTTATATAAATGCAGAACTTGAAAGTGTGAGTTATAATAATTGTTACGACCCTGGGTCGTTATGTGTATTGTGTGCAGATATTTCTTCCTCCTTCTGTGTTTGTGTGGCTGCGCGTGATTGAACAGGTGTCCGGTCCTCCACCTGAGGAGACGGGAGCATTTTAAGCTGCAGCCGTGCAGTTTCTCGGCGCTCTCTCTGACTCAACTTCTCCTACTCCCAACTCTGCACGTGTTGAGATCTTTTGTCCTGTTGTGCTGTGTTCGCACTTTGAGTGTAGTATCTTGTCCTTCTCTTCTTGTTGTGAGCTGCCTTACTTTACCTGTCTTTGTAGACGAGTTATTTTATATATTATTATTATTATTATATTATTATTATATTTACTTGCATTAATGAGTTGAAACAAAGATTGTCTTCAAGTTGACCTGATTTGCTTTTTCAAGGCAGCAGGTGAACTTTCATTTGCAAGTTGAACTGACATGAAATGTTTTACAGTGATATGAATTTGTGTTCCAGATCGGCGTTAATACGGGGGAGAAAAAGAAAGCTATCTGGATGGACTGTGGTATACACGCCAGAGAACGGATCGCCCTGGCCTTCTGTCAGTACTTTGTCAGAGAGGTAATTTAAAAAAAACATAATTTTCCTTTAAGTGAAAATGATTTTGTTCGACATATCTTCCAATATATTAATCTGGCACTTGTGTTTTTCACAAATCAGATCCTTCAAGCATACAAAACAGACCCAAAGATGCAAGTGATGATGACGAATATGGACTTCTTTGTCACCCCCGTGCTCAACATAGACGGATACATCCACTCCTGGAAGGACAACACAGTCAGTGCTTGAGTTTGATGGATTTTTATCAAATTACCTTTCTGGGTTAAGCCTCAAGCTCTCGAGCCACAGAAGAGCAGGATATGAGAGAATGATAGTCCTATTAAAGCAGAGGCAGTTAAGTTACAGTGAGCTACAATTCAATGAGTGAATAAATTGATTCATGGTGCTCAACACGAGTACCAAATCATCTCGTTTTCAATATAAGATGAATGGAAAATGATATCAAACAGCAATCCCAGGCAGTATGGAAATATGTACAAGTGCCCTGTTCATTTCTTAATAGAACCTCCGAACCTCCGTAACCGAGTGAACCCTTTTTGACCCGTAGACTCTACTGTGGAGGAAGAACAGGTCACCGGGACCTTTAAACTGCACCTGTTACGGCACAGACCTCAACCGCAACTTTAACGCCAACTGGGGCAGTGAGTGTTGTTTTGCTTCTCCACCTGCTCATTTAGACAGCCATTATGCTCTATGTATTGCTCTGATAATCATGGGTAAGTGGGTATCACACATAGATGTTACTGAAGATGTCTAATCACTGAACAATTTGTTTTAGAGGGGTATTAAAGAGCGTTGTAGAGCGCCACAATGCTGGCATCCTACAATTACCACAATGCAACTGATGCACTGCTTGTCATAAGTGGACAAGCAGTGAAACAATCTTTTCAAATTCCAAAGCCCCAGGTTTGGTTTTGCCTCCTAAAAATGTAGATGAAGTAGATGCACTACTTGTCATAAGTGAATATAATCTTTCAAATTCCAAAGCCCCAGTTTTGCCTCCTAAAAACGACATGTTGCGATGGAAATGGTATTTATTTTGATGTGTAGCAGGATGAATGGTGTAATCAAACCAACTTTAACAAATACATTCACCTATCCTCCCCTCTGCGGCTACTGCCACAGACATATCACAAAAAATACTTTTCCTATCAAAAGCTACTAAATCTTACACACTGAACCGTTAAATATAAAACGTGCTCACCACTAGATAATTCAATTTCTTTGGCTGCCTCCACAGCGATCAGGGTTTCCTTCGAATGCTGCGACAACATCTTCTGCGGGATCAAACCTGTGTCCGAGTCCGAGGCCCAGGCCGTCACTTATTTCGTAGGAAACCGGAGAGAAGACTTCCTGTGTTTCCTCACCATCCACTCCTACGGCCAGATGCTCCTGGTTCCATTCGGACACCCCAACTTCACCGCCAGCAACTACGATGAGCTGGTATTTACATCGACACACACAATAATGCATGATTTACACATGGCTGATTATGAACATACACAATATATACTCAACATAACATCACATAACAATTCAGGATTTAAGAAAAGTGTATGTGCATATATTGTGCCGGATTATCGCTACATTAATCAAGAGAATAAGGCATATTGCCATAGAAACTGGGCTCATGCATGTCACAAATACACAGGAAAAGAGGCAATCTGTTACAGCTCTATTGATAATGGAGAACAAATGGCTGCTTGCTTATAGATGGGAGGTGGATCCAGGTAACAAAAACCTAATGTGGCCACAATTCAGACCGAATTATGCAAAACAGGATTATGTCCTTTCGTCTCTGGCGGAAGGAAACAAACGGCAGCATTTATTTTAGCATGCTAGTCAGGATTCAAAATCTCTTATATCCGCATGTCAGGGATAATGTGACAAGGTTTTAAATTATTAATCTCATGTTTATAACCCTGAAGCGGAACTTGTTTATGAACATAGAGACTCTAAAATTGTAGATATGGATTGGTACAGAAGCCCGAGAGGCAATTGAGACAATAAATCTGTTTTCTCCTGTGTTTCTAGTTTCGGAACTAATTGAAAATGTTGCCTGGATATTTTTTTGTTTAAATGGGGCTAAAATGTTTCACGAGATTATTTTTGCGCAAGTGAACCTCTAGATCAAATTGAATTAAAAGAAGACACATACAGATGGTATTCTGCTGGATCACTTTTCCACTCCCCATATCATTGTCACACTTACAGTATTTCACTGTCTGGGTGCAAAGGTGTTTCACCCTTCCCCACCACAGTGGTTGTTAAAGATAGCTTCACAAGCATGAACACACAGTTCGGAGACAGCTGAGCCCTGTTTCCTGTTCATTTGGAAAGACGCTAACACCCCAGCACCCAGACATGAGGAAGGAGCGTTGATTCTTGTCATTAAGACTGATGCACATGAAGGGACTGTGAGATAATGGGCTCCTGGGCGCAGACATGTGAGAGGTTACCCACCCTGTCTACATAGGAACAAGACACACAAATGTAAGGGTTAACTCTGAGTCATTTTGTGTCCCTATGTAATCATGAAGCATCAATTGTATGTCTGTGTAGTCATTTTGGGTATATTTGTGTTAATTTTATTTTATTTTACATATCCTTTTAGTCGTTTTGCATGTATTTTGAGATGTTTCACCTTTCTTAGTGCTCATTTTTTGTTGTTTTGCATGTCTTTGAGGTCATTTTGAGACAACTCATTTCAGTTTTCTTTCTTAAACTGAAGAAAAGGTAAAGCACACAGAGCTAATACAGATACTTTCAATGACTGTATAATAAAAGCTAATGTGTTTCTTCAGATGAAGGTAGGTAAGGGTGCAGCGGACGCCATTCGGAGCGTGCACGGGAAGCACTACACCGTAGGAACCTCACTGGATTTGTTGTGTAAGTCCACACATCACAGCTGGTCACAGATGTATTTGACTTTGTTGCTGTGCTAGCAGAAAAACAGCAGTGTACCCTCTTTCTACAGACGCCAACTCTGGTTCCTCCCAAGACTGGGCCCGGATGCAGGGGATCCCCTTAACCTACACCTTTGAGCTGAGAGATGTCGGGACGTTTGGCTTTGAGCTTCCCCAGGATCAGATCCAGCCGACCTGCGAGGAGGCCTACAGCGGAGCCCTGCACATCATCACCTATGCCCACGACAAGACACCACCGCTGCAACCACCATTTTAGGCAATGCCTGACACATTAGTATATCCACCAATCTTTTTTTATTTCATTGAATATGACGACATACAAATAACATCTGGCGCCAAAGAGAAATACAAAATAATAGAATATTTGAAACGTGTGTCTATATTGTTTTAACCACTTTTTCACAATAATAACATATATGAACTTTCAAATGAGTGGACATGTCCATGGTGAATGCACATTGCCTTATGATGTCACCTGAAAGACAGTCAAATGACTGACTACCACGTCTGTCAACCATGAATGGATTACTGAACAGGCAGGGGCCCTGAAGTTAGGGACCCTCCTGGCGTTTACCTACAAAAGGTCACTCGAATAGACATGTACCAACCAGAAAGAGACTCAAAATGACTACAAAGAGATGAAGAAAACGACCGCAAACTGACTAAAAAAATAACGCAAAATCTCATAGATATGTGATGCAACAATACAAAAATAGGCTATTAAAACTGAGTGTCTTGTCTCTTCTGTCAGAGAAATAATGGGGCCTTTAGCATGTCTGTGCCCATTGTCCATTGACCTTACCATAGTGGCAGCACATTTAATATTTCATTACGTCCAAGTAAGTAATCTCCATCGAGTGCAATGCCTTCTATGTCAGAAAGACTGTTGGGCTTTGCACAGAATTTCACAGCAGCTGTATACGTTTTTTGGGAGTTTGATTTATTTTGAATTAACACAGATACAAAATTAAGACCTACAATTTCACACAAAAACCATTATTTAAAAAAAAGAACTATTTCACATAAACCTCTGGTTTTTACTGTAATTTACATTAATTACAGCAGAGGGAGCTGTCCTAATCAAGTGAAGAGAGGGCTGTAATCTACTTCCACATCAAGGCCCAATCCCAAACCAAGCCCTACACCCTACCCCTACACACTACCCTGTGGAGGGTCCGCCACATTAAGTGCTCTTCCAAACCAACGAGTGTGGAGGGGGAGTGGGCTATCAAGCCCTCAAACAGCGAGTCTGCATCAGTGCTGACTTGAGACCGGTCACTACCTGACCAGACTCAACGCTGTGTGTGTCCGTCAGGAAACACGCTGTTTACAAGTAGTTCCAGCAAACATCCACTGATAAATTGCGATGTTAAAGGTAGGGGTAGGTAAGAATGGAGAAACCAGCTCTAGTGCGCTAGAATTTGAAACTACGCAGCCGAAAATAATCTGCCCCTTCCTTCAGATTTCCTTACAGAGCCCCTCCTCCAACACACACGAACGAGCACATGACCAATGAGGGCACGAGATGGAAGGCTGACAGGCAGGTAGGCCATCCAGTTATTTTAGCCGGGCTGGCTAAATTAATTGGTTGTGCTTTTTACAGCGCCACGGCTTCCACAGCCTGAAACTCGATCCCAACCAATCACATGAATCTCCCGCCCCGGACACACAAGCAAGCACGCGGTTTGATTGGCTAGAGCTTGTACTGGCATACGATTTGATTGGCTGACGCTTCCGTCGAAGCTTCAAAAGTTGAACAATGCTCAACTTTTGAAGCGAGCAACGCGAAGCGACGGAACCACAATGCAGCTCGGCAAAGCGTGACATCACCCCATTCAAAGTGAATGGGCAGAAGCTGCAACGCACGCTGCCGTGTAGCCGGGTCGTAAGAGATGCTGATTGTTACATTCAGTTACGGCATTTCCTGTTTCTGACGGAGAGAGGGGAGTTTGTTCCAAAGCTTGCCGCTGTATTTACTCCCTCCATCTGACAGGACACTCCACGGAGTTCACTCCGTCACGGAGGGGTAGTGTGTAGGGTGTAGGGCGTGGTTTGGGATTCGGCCAGTGACACTTGACCCACTCCCCTCGCGCCTCCTCCCCAATTTTCGGCGCCCCCCATTGGTTGATGCGCCCTTAGCATTCGCCTATACTGCCTATGCCAAGGGCCGGCCCTGCTTTGGTATTCTAAAAATGGAATATCTGATTGGATTGAACCTATAATGTTGTACAGTCCACCTGAGCACCGCTACATTTAATAATAATAATAATACATTTCATTTCCAAGCGCTTTTTCAGGTGCTCAAAGACGCTTTACAGTGGTGATAAAACGAGATAAAATAGAATGAAAAATTAATAAAACAGCAACACATATTATAGGTAATAGAATACAAATTGTATTAAAACAGCAACACGACATAATTCACAAATTAAAAGCCAGTGTGAGGTGTGTTTTGGTCAAAACTGTGGCGCGCTTACATTGTAGGTGCGCAGCGTTTGCGCTTCAGATGACGCTCCCTCCGCAAAATGAGGCCCCGTCCGCAAGGTGAGGCCCCGCGCAGGCTGCGGGAGGGGCGGCCCTGTATAATATCGTCATATTAAATGCAGTCATTTGGTCTTTAGCAACAGTGTGTCATTGGTGTTCGTTTTAATGCTGCTAGTTTGTTGACGGCCTGTGTGTTGATGGGACTTCTCATGCTCCCTAAATGTTTCCCCTGCCTTTCGCCAGTTGTTAAACCCTCCTTTCACAAAACTCCCATCCCTGATCTTGTCAGCACTGACGAGCACACACAGAAGAAGCACACCGCATTATCACTTTCTCTTATCTAGTGAAGCTTTTTATAGACTGCTTACACTAAAATGCTAACTCAAAAATAGTAACTCAAATTAAAACTTTTAAAGTATTGAACTTTTTGGCGTTGCAGTTACAACTCTCCGCCAACAGATGGGGTTTCTGCAGCCCCCTCAGTACCCCCCCCCCCCCTTCCCACGTCCATGGATATATTGCAGTTTATTTAGAATGTTGGATGATGAGCCATACAGGATGCTGTTACAGTGGTCTAGTCTTGAAGTGATGAATGCGTGGATAAGGGTTTCAGCAGCCGGGAAGGAGAGTGAGGCAATAGCGTCTGGCTGCAGACCGCAGCAAGGAGGCGGATCGTATAGGGGCGGATCGTATAGGGGCGTTTCCTAAAGGGTTATGAACCCCGCCCCCACGTATTTCTTAAAGGTATAGGACGCTCTCTGTTTCTCATTTATTTTAATGCTTTGAATGAATCATAAACGAACTTTGAAAAATAATAATTATAATTAATTTGCATAAAGAATGAAGAGTATACAACCCACAGAGAAGACAAATTCATAAATTGTAGGCATATCATTTTTCACTGTTCGTGCAGTGGTAGCAGCGGCGCCAGATTCATTTCAGAAGTGGGGGGGGGGCAAAAAGTGCGCGTGTAGGCCTATGTGACAAAGCCTACTTGCCAACCCTCCCGATTTTCGCGGGAGACTCCCGTTTTCCTCCCGGGGTCATATTTATCCCGCATTTCTCCCGATTTCTGACTAAATCTGATTTGTTTCATTCTAACATAACGCACCAAATGTTACTGTTTCCACTCGGACTTCAATACAGCTACACCATTGTTTGGTGTCCATGGTAACGTGTCTCTTTAGTATAGCGTGAGCAAATGAAAGTCTGAGAGGGTCTTCAGGAGGAAGATAGTCAGAGAAAACAGAACAAGAATGGACAACTCAACCCTCTGCTCACTCCTTTCCTGTACATTAAACTATACAGACCAGCCCACATATGACAGCGCAGTTGCTCATTCCATCTCTTCTTTTTCCCTGCTACGCTCTTGTTTGACAAGCTGAATGTTGACTGGTGTTTGACTGAAGTAAGCGCTGTGAAAAGTTCCAGTTATTAACTCGGTATTTACAAAGCTGTCATCTCCACATTTGGAGAAAGTTACAAGCCGTTTGACAGCAGCACATCTGCATATTTCACAGAAGGCTCGTTTAGTGGTTTTGCAAATAATTAACCACTCTCTGTTTTTGTACCATTCTGCATTGAAGTACCTTCTCTTTGCCCAAATAAGCTTTTATTGGCCCGTCACAATGTCCCGACAACAAACCTCCATGCAGTCGGAACCAGCCTGTTTCGGTTCAACGATGCCGGCGGCGGCGGTTTTGACAGCCTCTGCGGCCGCAGAGCTGCTGCTGGGGTTCATCTGGCTGCGCTGGTTCTATGGTTGAAGGACCAGGCTCTGGAGCTGGTTCTATGGTTGAAGGACCAGGCTCCGGAGTTGTGGATGTCAGGGATGTGACATTCAAGTTGTTGAATTTCAGCTTAGTTTGACTGTATTTTGTTTTCTTATGCGCCGGTTCTTCTGACATGTTTGCAAGTTTATCTATCTAGGTTAACGGCTGACACACACTTAACAACGTAGCCTAACACATAACGTAAACAACGTAACAAATAAACACATCTAAGCTTTGTTATTGGTTGTAATGTAGGCTACATGGATACATTTGAATGGTGTGACAATGTCCTATTTGATTGGATTAAAATGTACATATTCTTCCTGTTATGTGTGCCTGCTGTATTTTACCTAATGCAAAGTGACCTGCTGCTCCATCGAAGTCAGTCGCATTGATCCGAACACACATTTTGAGTTGTAGCCTATTGGAAAGAGGAGATTTCTAGCTTTCTAATTATATCAGGATTGTTTTTGTACTATATTAAGAAAAATATGTCACATTATATAATGACTGTCACTGAGTCATCATTTTGAGAAAAAGGCCTTTAAAGTTTCCTCTTCTCTGGATCGATCTGATTGATTATTAGCGGAGCAAATGATCAAAGTAGTACGGAGGGAAGATATTTTCGTTTGGATTACTGATCTGGGGGAAGCTCGCGAGTGTGTGTGTTTGTGTATTTTTGCGTTTGTTTCCCGGGTAAAACTCTCAGGAGAAACACCGACTGTTGTTATGCTTGCTGTGACGTTAAGTTACTCCGTTCTC